AAAAATAATTCTATTTAACGGGGTGAAAAATTCAATTTTTTAATACAAAAATATCTTTATGGGGACCAAAAAAATCCCATTTATGGGGATAAAAAAAAGTCCTTTTTATGGGGTGGAAAAGGTTCCATGCATCTAGGATGGGTCAAAATTTTTATTTATTTATCGGAGCAATAAACACATTGGGGATAAAAATAATTCTATTTAACGGGGTGAAAAATTCAATTTTTTTATACAAAAATATCTTTACGGGGACCAAAATCCTCCCAGTTTTTGGGGAGGGTTTTGAGCTCTCTGGGATGGGAAAAATGCCGATCCTTAGGAATTCCTTGTTTTTTTTTTTCCCCTTTTTCCAGGGCGTCGTCCCGGCTGGCGGCGGGTGAGTGATCTGGGTGAATTCGGACGCTCTGGTGGTGGGTGGAGCTGGTGATTCCGATGGAAAATTCCTTAATTTTGAATCCCTGCATCCCAAAAATTTCCTGCAGCTTGGAGAGCTGGATGTTCCTCAAACCCGAGCCCGGCTTTTCCGAGCTGGAGAAGAAACTCAAGAGTTTTTCCCAGAAGAGCGCCGTGCTCAAGGAAGTGCTGTTGGAATTTAAGGGTGAGCACGATCAGAGCCTTCCTGGAAAAAATAAAAAAAGGGAAAAAATTAAGGATTTGACTAAAAATTTACCAAAAAAAAAAAAAAAGATTTCTAGATCCCACGTGGAAATCCACAATAAAATTGGAGGTGGGATGGTTGGGAGAGCTCCGGGTTGTTTGAGCGTCGCTCGTTGAGGGAGGGAAGAGGTGGAAAAGCGATTTCCTTGGGAATTCGAGGGTGGAAATGCGGAGTAGGGATCATTCCAATGTTTCGGGGAGTTTTGGGATTGAATTCCTTCCTTCTCTTCCCGCAGAAAACCTGCGCTTTGAGCTGGAGAACGACACAGGTGAGGCCCAGCGGGGTTGGGACAAAACCTCTTATTTATTTTTTTTTCCCCCAGGGGTTTGGTTGGGATTTGAGGCTCTTTTCCAAGAGATAATGTGGGAATTCCCTCGGGATTGGCGGATACGGAGGCTCTGACCTCCCATTTCAGGTGGGAATTCCCAGGTTGGAGCTCTCCAAGATGATACAGCTCACCAGATCCTTAATTTTTTTTTGGTTGGGGGAAATTTTGGGATCAAACCACGTCGCGATTCCGTGCTGGGCTCATCCGAGTCACAACTCGCCAATCCAATCCTGGTTTGGGGCAAATTTTGGGATCAATCCTGGTTCGGGGCCAATTTTGGGATCAATCCTGGTTCGGGGCAAATCCAATCCTGGTTTGGGGGAAATTTTGGGATAAAACCACGTCGCGATTCCGTGCCGGGCTCATCCGAGTGACAACTCGCTGATCCAATCCTGGTTTGGGGCAAATTTTGGGATCAAACCACGCTGCGATTCCGTGCCGGGCTCATCCGAGTTGCAACTCGCTGATCCAATCCTGGTTCAGGGCAAATTTTGGGATCAATCCTGGTTCGGGACCAATTTTGGGATCAAACCACGTCGCGATTCCGTGCCGGGCTCATCCAAATCGCAACTCGCCGATCCAATCCTGGTTCGGGGCAAATTTTGGGATCAATCCTGGTTCGGGGCAAATTTTGGGATCAAACCATGCCGGGCTCATCCGAGTTGCAACTCGCCGATCCAATCCTGGTTCGGGGCAAATTTTGGGATCAATCCTGGTTCGGGGCAAATTTTGGGATCAAACCACACCGGGCTCATCCAAGTCACAACTCGCCAATCCAATCCTGGTTTGGGGCAAATTTTGGGATCAAACCACGTTGCGATTCCGTGCTGGGCTCATCCAAGTCACAACTTGCCGATCCAATCCTGGTTCGGGGCAAATTTTGGGATCAATCCTGGTTCAGGGCAAATTTTGGGATCAAACCACGCTGGGCTCATCCAAGTTGCAACTCGCCGATCCAATCCTGGCTCGGGGCAAATCCAATCCTGGTTCGGGGCAAATCCAATCCTGGTTTGGGGCAAATCCAATCCTGGTTCGGGGCAAATCCAATCCTGGTTTGGGGCAA